GGGAGAAAGGGGACATCCATTACGAGTGCCGGCTCTGGAGTTATATGGATCCTGCTTGTGGTCCAGGCACCAGTATTCCCTAGACATGTAATCTTCAGCAAGTGACTGCACGCTGTCTTCTGCCTCGGTTTTCCCTCCTATAAAACTGAGCCAATTAATGACAAACGTTGTAAGAATTTATCATGCTGTGAGGTGCTTGGCACCTAATGCTGTCTTAGGAAGTGGTCTAAATTATGTGTGTGTTACGGGGAGGATCATTTGAGAATTCCACATGGGCCATGGGACTGAGTGCACCCCCTGGAGGACTTCTTGGAGGAGGCAGCCTTAATCCTGAGCCTTGAAGGACAGGGTAGTGTTTGGGCAGGCAGAGCTGTGCTAAGTGGGAGTTAAGCAGGTAGAGGCGACAGCCTGGAGCAAAGGCTGGGAGTCTCACCTGGGAATCACAAGGGGGTCTTCCAGGCGTTTGTTTCTGAGTCGTGTTGACCGAGAAATAATGCTATTTACCCCCATTCAAGCAACCTATGCTTTATGAGAAGTCCCGCTGTGTTTGGGGAGCCCCTGCTGCTTTTCAGTGCTTTACAGCTGCAGAGGGCACGCCCCATTCCCGTGTCCATGGACCCCAGCTCTGCCTCCCTCTCACATCCACCTTTCTGTCTTTCTCTCCCTCCATCCTGCCTCTGTTTCCTCCATTCCTATTTCCCACGCCCTCTCCTCAGTGTGGCCAAGGCTCTGTGCGTGAAGATGGTGGGGGCTCAAGCCCTGAAGCTGTTTAAGGAACACCGCATTTTCTCAGAAGTTATCTCGGACCAGGAGGCTNGTGTGTGTGTGTGTGTGTGTGTGTGTGTGATTTGAAGCCCATAATTTCATGGATATTATTGCTTAAGAAGAAGCGAGGCAGGTATTAAAGTTTAAAAATTGAGTCTGTTTTTATTATTTTAAATTACAAGATTTTTGTTTTTTAATTGTGGAAGTAGGGAAGGGGAACAGCCAAGTTGTTGTCCTTCAGTCTTAGTTGTGGAGGGCGCAGCTAGCTCAGCTCCAAGTCCAGTCACCATCTGGTCACCTGTTGGCAGCTCACAGCCTCTCAGCTCAAGGTGCCGTGTTCAATCTTAGTTGGGGCAGGGGGCACGCAGCCCACCATCCCATGAGGGAGTCGAACCGGCAACTTCGTTGTTAGGAGCATGTGCTGTCACCAGCTGAGCCATCCTGCCACCTGTTGGCAGCTCAGTGGCAGCTCAGCTCGGGCACAGCTCACTGGCCCATGTGGGAATCGAATTGGCAACCCAGTTGCTCAGAGCTCATGCTCTTAACCAACTGAGCCACTTGGCCGGCCCAATTGAGTCTGTTTTTTAAAAACAGACTTATGGCTTAATATGTATTAAGTATTAGCAGTAGTAGAGTACTTTCTGGCATGAAGAGACAATATACCTAACAGAACACAGACCCCGGAGCCAGCCAGGCTCTGGTGCACATACCAGCTCTGCCACTTACTGGCTGCGGGACTTTGGGTAAGTTACTTAACCTCTCTGCCTTGTTTCCTCGACTGTAAGATGGGGCTAAGATACCTCCCTAGTGGAACTGCTGTGAGGGTCTAATGAGTTAATAAATGCCAAACATTTATAACAGTAGTAAGATCTGTGTTTACTGCTGTTGCTGCTACTATTCTCACTGTTGCTATTATAAAAGAGGTGAGACAGCAATGGGACAAAAATTGCAAAGGTGGCACACGGATGTCCAAAGTTTGGGAACATGACATCATTATATCACAGAATGTTTACAGCACCCTGGGAGGTGGGTATTGTAATGAACCCTGCATCGTGGACTCAAACTTGGCCCAGAAAGGCCAAGTCACTTTCCCAAGGTCACACAGCAGTGGCAGAGCCAAGGCTCGGACCCAGAGCGACCAGGCTTCAGAGCTCCTGGCTTGGCAGAAGAGGGGTTGGGGACAGCCAGGGTGGCTGCATCAGATGAGGCTGGGGAGGTGGGCCAGGTCGTTGACCTGTCCCCTCCCAGGGCCACCTTCGTCAGCCAGCCCCTGTCCCTGACACTTCAGGCCGCCAAACACCCACCCTGGCCAGTCCCCTGGGTTATTCATTAAACTTCATTTCACCATCCTCACCCGCATCTGGCCTTCCTGTTCCCAAGGCAAGGGAACGGCATGGAGAGGAGAGATGGTACTTTGGACAGACATGATTGGCCCTCAGATTTGCAGGTTTAGCTCTGGACTCTGGCCATACACCCTCCAAGCCACAAGGCTCAGTTCCATGCAACGGGTGAGAGAAGTGGAGCTTGGGCAGCCATGCAACCCGCTTAGCTAGTGAGTAACCCAGCTGAGGTTTGGACTTCAGGTCTTCCAGTACCCAATACACCTTAGCTAACTTCTAAGACCCTTGCCAAGGTGATAAATCATTTTAGAACAGAGTGGGTCTCAAACTAGAGGGCCACATTTCTGCTGAATGGAGATAACTCACTCTGTCCTCTGTAGAGGGACATGACTCTCCATTTGCCACTGTCCCCACCTCTCCCTATTGCATTTCCAGCTCCCAACAGACCCCTGCCTGGCCCTTGAGTTTGAGACCCTTGTACAGAGGAACTCTCCCTCTCTCCTCTTGTCTCTGAAAAGGAAAGGAGTCAGTGACCCAGGGAGAGGCTGCAGCACAGAAAGGTTAAGTGACTTGCCCCGGGTTGCCCAGCAAACAGGCCATGGGGCCAAACTTTGAGGGACTTCACATCCAACTTGGATGGTCTTGTCCTAAGAGAGTTACAAATTCATAGCCATGGTTGAGTTGTCTGAGCTGAAAGGATCAGCGAGGGACATACAATGCACCCTTTTTGTGAGAGGGGCAACTGAGGCCCATAGCAAAAAGGGGACAGTTTAACATCTGTCCTCAAGGCCAAGGAAAATTCTGATCCGTGTGAACCAGCCAGTCATTGATGCATTCAGCAAACATTACCCCAAACTACCAAAATCTAGGTCCTGTGAAAGGAGAGATGCAGACAAGTAAGATACCTTTCCCGTCCTCAAGGGGCTAACAGTTGGCATGTCAGTCAATAGATGCAGAAAGCACTACAGATGCAGCAACAGAAAAATGCAAAGTAGAGCAACAATAAAATGCCATTTTAAAAGCTATTAGCAAAAAAAAATTTTTTTAAAGCATAAAAACAATAACAAGCAGGGCTGGTGAGTATGAGGCAAAATAAGCACCTCACATGTTGCTGGTATGACTGGCAATTGCTACAGCCTTTTGGAAAAGGAATCTGTCAATATCTATTCCAATTTGAAAAATATCCATTCCTTTGACCAAGAAATCTTAATTTGGGGGATCTATTCCACACACACACACACACACACACACACACACACACACACACAAAGTACCAGAGCGTAGAGATACGGGTATGAGAGTGTTTATTAATTAAAGTGCTGTTTAGAAGAGCAAAAACAAACAAAACTGGAAGCTGGGATGCCCTTGAATTGGGAAATGGTTGAGTGAGTCATAGTAGACCCTCAACATGGAATTTTATGCAGCCATCACCAAGAATAAATTAGATCTAAACCTATTGACCCAAAGAGGTGTTCATGATACATTTTAAGTGAGAAAAGGAAAAACAATACATACAGTATGCAGTGATTTTTTTTTTTCTAACAAAGAATAATGACCAGAAGTGCCTGATATACCAGTCGTTGGTGGTATATATACCTGTAGGCTCGTGGGGAACAATGCTGATAATATTGGTTATCCTGGTTGTAATGGGGAGGTGGGGATGAGGGAAGACGACAGGCCATGAGAAAATGTGATGATGAAAATGTTTCATAATCTGTATGGTAGCCAGTGACCACCTGTGGCTACTGAGCCTTGAATAGGGGCTGTGAGACTGAGGAGTTGAATTGTAAATTTTATTTAATTTTGAATAACTTAAATAGCTCCAGGTGGTCACTGGCTTGTGTACTGGACAGCATGGGCCTAGGGAATCTGTCTAGGAGACCTTGTGGGTCTCGTGAGAGGCATTATTGTCACAGCGAGAGTGAATGCGTTAGTAAATCATTTGGCTTTGTGCAATGATTTCCCCATTCACTACAGACAGATCTGAGTGACATGCAAACAGAAAGACAATTACCAAACAGGGACAATAAATACCCCAATATAAGTAGGGGGTTCGTGTGGTGTATAGAGGGATGCGACTTTTTTTTTTTTTTTAATCTCATACCCAGGGAAAAAGAGGACTTGACAGTGGGGACACCTGACAAACCCTACCTAGGTCAAGAGCATCAACAGTGATAAGTCATGCTGGTAGTTAATATGGCCTTGATGTGACATGATGACAATGGCATTTCACTTTCATGGTCTTCCTTCCCCAAATCCTCCAACTCCAGTTTACTC